CACCATCACGGTTAACTTGAAATCAACCATGCCATCCCCAGAACACCCATCCTGACTTGGTCCTGTACTTCCTCCAGGTGCACTAAAGGTGCCGTCACACTTTCTTCCGGCTATCACAAGGCAAGATGCTATTCCTTGACAGGGGTTACTGGGCCAGGAATGGACGTCTGGCTTTAGCTGACCCAAGCTGAATCTGTCTCGCATGATTTGATTCAGGAGTCCATATAAGCAATGCTTATGGTGGAGAGAGAAGGCTGTTGCAGAGCAAGCAAGGCCACAGAGAGCACAGAAATAAAGAGCCTGGCAAGAGGTTGGACTGCAGGACTCAGAAGATGGCTGACTCAAGCTCCAACACAGTGAAAAGGCAGCCTTGACTGCAAATCATGGGGAGAGCCTTGAGAGAAACTGAGCCAGTTGGGACCTTGCCCTTGAGTTTCCAGACTTTGAGCAATAGATACCATTGCATAAGCCCCTTGGTCTGTGGACCCACAGCCCAGTCACAGGACTTGGCAAGGTGTTATATAAGTAGGTGGCAGAAATGGGGCGTGATTAGCAGAGTGCTTGCCTTGCATGTGAAAAGGCCTAAGTTCAATCCCCAGGAGCACATAACCCAGACATGTGCATTTCTGTAATCCCAGCACTCAGGGGGATCAGAAGTTCAAGGTCAGCCTGGGTTGTGTGAGATCTTGTATGAAATGAACAACCAAAAAAGTCACTCAAGCTGGGCGGTGGTGACGCACGCCTTTAATCCCAGCACTCAGGAGGCAGAGCCAGAAGGATATCTGTGAGTTCGAGGCCAGCCTGGTCTACAGAGTGAGATACAGGACAGGCACCAGAACTACACAGTGAAACCCTGTCTCGAACCCCTCCCCCGCCAAAAAAAGTCACTCAAGTGTGAATGACTTCAGCTTTGTGAGCTATGTGGTGTCTAATAGAACTGCTCAATATGCCTGTTAGAGTGTCAGTGTCGATAGAGAGTTATGGACACCCTAAGTGCATGGCCATGGCTGTGTTATAAAACAAAATAAAACTGTGTCCAAAAAAACAAGCTGGAGTTTGCATGACCCTTGGCTTAAAACAACAGTTCATTTTATTCAGAGACTAAGAATATAAAAAGATTGGAATAGGAGGATTTCCTCTCAGGACAGCGTGTGCTCTTTCAGGACAGTGTGTGCATGGCTCTTCCTGGATACCAGCTGCCTCTGGGAGTCTCTGTCTCTGTCTCTATCTGTCTCTGTGTGTGTCTCTGTGTGTGTCTCTCTGTCTCTATCTGTCTGTCTCTCTCTCTGCCTATGCACTGTCTGGGCTTTCTTACAGCAATGGCAACTGTCCTGAGCTCCAGCAGCCTCCCAAGCGTTTGACGCTGCCACTCACTGCTCATGAACTAACTTCTGTTGGGTTTGCCAGCCAGTCAGGATTCAGGGGATGGGAAGGCAGAGCCCATCTAGGTGTGGGAGGAGGGTTGACCACACATCCAAGAAGCATTCATATGGGAGATTTTGCTTTGGGGGTATGGAGTATGGGCATGGTAAATTTGAGCATACTTTAATTTTATTTATTTATTTATTATTTATTTATGTGTGTGTGTGTGTGTGTGTGTGTGTGTGTGTGTGTGTGTGTGTGTTGTGTGTGCAGTGTTTGCATGTATGTATGCCATATGTGCGCAGTGCTTGTGGGATCCAGAAGAGGGCGTCTGATTCCCTGGAACTGAGATTGCCCATGGTTTTGAGCCATTCAATGAGGATACTGAGAACTCAACCTGGATACTCTGCAGGAGCAAGCAAGTGAACTTAACCTCTGAGTCATCTCTTCATGCCCAAAATATTGTACTTTATAGGTGTTTTCTTGACAATTTGAAATAATTTCCAGTCAGTTCTCAGTTTTACCTTAATTACATCTCCTTCTTGGGATGAGCAGGTAACAGGGATCGAACCCAGGACCTCCCGTATACTGGGCAAACATTCTATCACTGAGCTAACTCCTCAGTCCTTCGGCTGAGTTCTTTCAAGGAGACAGATAAGCTCACGGGGAGGTGAGAAGGGGACTTTCTCTACACAGAGAAGCCAGAGCGGCCACCACCACCACCAAGTTACAACCCGAAAACATCCTGGGCATGGGGAGAGACCAGCAAACAACAAATCGTGATGCCTGGGGCTAGAGAGGGCTAGGACCTCAAACGTCATTATTTCCCCATTAGCAGAGCTCTCACCCAGGAGGGCCAGGCAGTTTTCTAGACGAGGAGAGTGTGTGACTCCACATGAGGTCACTGAGGCAAGGTTTCCAGACAAGCTCAGCACCCAAGGGTCCATGGAGGACGAAGGCTGCAGCTCAGGGGTAGAGCACCTGCCTAGCACAAACATACAAGGCCCTGACTTCATCCCCAGTGAGAGGCTGCAGGAGCCTGCTTGCGAGGGTAGCTTTGCTTCTTCCTTGGCTCTTGTTTTAAGTTGCTGGGTGGTACTGTGTTTAAATCACTTTGGCAAAATTCCTCTTCAATGCAATCAATACCTCCAGTCCTACTTTATGGGGCAAATGGTTCCAAACTGCACAAACATGCCTCAAATATCTGCACTCCAGAGGCTAGAGCAGGTCACTGCCTGAGCGACCCTGGGAGTGGGAGATAAGAGGGGAGCGCAGGGAAGGGTGGACAGAATGGCAGGGAAGGAAAGGCATGTATTGCGGGGTTAGCAGTACCCCGTTATCTGGCTTGAGGCCATCACCACTTCCCAGAGGGAATGCGTTTGCCATGCAGTGCTGTGCAGGCAAGGGCTGCCGAGTCAGCAAAAGGGGGCAGGAAATAAAATGGAAGAAGATGCAGTGTGTTGCCCGGAGTGATGGCATGGTTTGTTCCTACAGTGTAGGGGAAGGGAGCAGGTTGAGAGCCAGGCATCCCCATCACCACATCTCAGTGGTAGTTCTACTCCCTTTTAGATCCCTATACTTACTAGGTCCTTGGATCCTCACAGCGACCCTATTGGAACTGTTGTTAGCCCCACTTTATAGGTCAGGCAACTGAGCACAGGGATATGAAGTGGCTACCCAAAGAGCCACACAGCCTGGAAACTGGAATCAGAATTTGAAACCGAGCCTAAGAAAGATGAGTCTGTGGCCCATTTGACCACATAGTCATAATCAATGATTTTCATTTACACCTAACAGACTCAATATACTGTTTCGTACCCATTTAGATTAACATATTAAAATGTATAGAAGCAAAGCAAGTCTGAGGAGAGCAAGCGCGGTCTGGAAGAATGATGACCCTGTGCCCCCCCCCTCTCCCAAAGGAGTATGGCAGCCACTGCCAACTTCCAGTAAAGTCCAAGATGTGCTGCGCCCAGCAGTCCACCATAGGCATTCAGAGGACCACCTGAAGGGGAGCCCTGAGTCAGGGACCAGAGTGACAGGAAACCATGGACTCAGAGCTGGAACTGGCACCTCCCCAACATCTTTGGGAAGAAAAGGACTGACACTTGGCTGGTGGTCTTTAAGGAGAGGGTGTTGTGCCTAAAGCAAGGGGTTGGGTTTGGGGTTGAAATCTGGGGTTCTGGAAGCACCCCTATGATCTTGAGAACTCCTTTAGCTGCAGGCGACTCTCCCAGTAGAGACCCTGGCTAGCTGCAGGTGCCACTCCATACCTCTTCTGCTCTCAGCCCGGGACTCCACCGCCTGGGCCGTGATTCTGGGCTCACTGGGCCACCTGTCACCACCAGCCCCCACTAACTCCGACCCTGTGCACCTGTGAAGCCATACTACCCCCCCCCAGCCCACTGCACCACCCGCTGCCATTCCCTGTGCGCATTCCGAGAGGGCAGGGGATGTGGGCTCTTGTCTTTGGATTGATGGTCCAGGAAATGCATTTTCAATTAGTCCCAGGATGCTGAGGTCCAAGAATCAGACATCATCTCTTAGTGGGGGGTGGGTAATGAGTGGAGAGAGACAAAATAACCGCGGAGTGGGGACCCCAACGAGCGACCGCTTCTGGAATGGGGGGATACCTGTTGGCCAGGGCACAGGACTCAGGACGCACAGGACTTGGTGGCTTTGCTCCAAGATGCAAACGTGTGGCCCAACTTTCTATTAATCTTTGGGAGGAGGGGGGCTAAACGCTGTTCGCTAAAGGCGTGTTTTCCGAGGTGAGCGCCTCCCGGGGGACCCCCAGTAGCCCTGAAGGAGGAAGGAGGGAGTGTGTGTCACAGGGAGAAACCACCTGTGGTTTGCAGGAGCCTCGCCGTCAAGTCGTAGCCAGCGCGGGGCCGCGGTGCTGGCATCCCCTCGGCTAACGGGGTGGGGACCGCGCGGCCCTCCACTGCCTGCGGCTCCCGGTCGCGGCGTGCGCTCGCGGTGCCCGGTTCCTTCCCGTTACGCAGTTCCTGTCCCTTTAAATCCCAGCCCCTGCCAGGGGAGGCTGGGGCGCGCCGTCCGGACCCCGGGCCGGGGGAGGGGCAGGGCGCCCCGGGGTCCCCGCGTGCGCGCGCGCAGCCGCCAGCGCCCCTCTCTAGGCGGCCGCGCGCCTGCCCGGGCCCGGAGCGCACGCCGCCGCCGCAGTGCCGCCGCCCGGCCCGGCCGGGATCGGTGCAGCCGCGCGCGCCGCCGCCCGCGGGCCCCGCCGCCCGGGCCTGAGCCGCGCCCCGCGCCCTCCCGCTCCCGGGGCGCGCGGCGAGGGGCCCTGGCGGCGAGGTGGAGCCGCGGGCACCAGCCGCTCCCCCGCCCTGCGCCGCCCCTCCCCCGCCTCCTCCCGGTCCTGTCTCCAGCGGGAGCGCGAGACGCTGGTCAGGCTCCGGCGCAGCTCGAAAATGAACAATCGCCGCGGGCGGACCTAGACGCCGCCGCCGGTCCGCGCGCGGGGTCGCGGGCGTGCTCCGTCCTCCCCCCCCCCCTCCTCCCCCGAAAAGAGCATCGCAACAAAAAGCCAGCCAGCCAACCAAGACTCCGGTTTGTTGATCGCCTTGTTTTGGGTTTTTTTTTTTTTTTTCTTTCACCGCTTGCGGGATTCGCAAACCGCGTTACATGCATGTCCAGTGGGGGTAGGTTTAATTTTGACGATGGAGGGTCCTACTGCGGAGGCTGGGAGGACGGCAAGGCGCACGGCCATGGCGTCTGCACCGGCCCGAAGGGCCAGGGCGAATACACCGGCTCGTGGAGCCACGGCTTTGAGGTGCTGGGCGTCTACACCTGGCCCAGCGGCAACACGTACCAAGGCACCTGGGCGCAGGGCAAGCGCCACGGCATCGGCCTGGAGAGCAAGGGGAAGTGGGTGTACAAGGGCGAGTGGACGCACGGATTTAAGGGGCGCTACGGTGTGCGGGAGTGCACGGGCAACGGGGCCAAATACGAAGGGACCTGGAGCAACGGACTGCAGGATGGCTACGGCACGGAGACCTACTCGGATGGAGGTAGGTGCGGGCAGCGGAGGCGGGGGGAGGAATGAGGACTGTCCCCCTCTTTCTCCTTCTGTTTATCTCCCGGGAAGTTGAGCCTCGCCTTCCAATTGGGCTATGGGCTCCTGGGGCATCTCCTAGGTTCCCAGGAGGCCTCAGCGGGCCCCTGGCCACAGGTTGCCCCACGCTTGATGGGGACAGTGGCCCGTGCCAACCCAAGGGCTGGGGGCTCTCCAGCAGTAGGGCCCTGCTGCAGCAGCTGAGCCAAAGTCTCAGCATATCCTGAGGAGCAGGCCGGAGATCTGCACCTGCCGGAAGGCCAGGCCGGGCCCTCTGCCACCTCTGGGACCAGCCAAAGCAGGAGGGGCCTGAAGATAGACCCTTCCCCTCCATTGGTGTTGCCTGCCTGGTGTCCCCAGAGTCAGGCCCCGGTTAGCTTCTTGTTTTCCTGCGGTGCCCAGGGCCTCCCTCAGTCCTAAAGCAACCCAAGCCAATGGAGAGGGAGCGCTGGGAGCGCCAGAGGCGGGGGATGCCGACCAAATCAAACAGCAAGGCAATAAACTTCTAGGTGGTTGGACACAGGCTGTCGAAGCAGGCTGCTGAAGGGAGGGAGGGAGGAAGGAGGCCCATCTGTTTAGCGGGAGCCCAGGAATCTGGCCATTCAGTGGCTGAATCATTTTCACCTTTAGTTTAGGGAATCGCTCTGCGCCTCCGGTGTAAGATGCCACCACAGTCCGGGCAGAGCCGGTGCCGGAAGCCAGGGAATTGCCAGTGTGACGGTTTCTGTTCAGAAGTCCTAGCTGGCTTGGCAGCCTCTACCTTACCTGGACACTCCCGTGCCCACTCCTCAGCAGTGCTGAGACCTCGGGAATAGTTATAAGTCCTGGAAGTCAGACCCCAAAGCAGACTCTGCCTGGAGGCCCCCCTCCCCCTCCAGGCGCTCATCCCAAGAGGCTGTTCTCTTGCCTCCCTCTGGGCCTGGGCGGCTTCGGATTTTTCGGGCATGGATGCCTGGGAAGGGAGTGAGATGCAGCAGTGACTTGGGCTTCTGCCGGGAATAGAGAGCTTGATGGAGCCTCTGTGTGTTCTCTGTGCCTGAAGCCAGATCCTGCCTGAAGCCAGCTCCTGCCTGAAGCCAGCACCTGCTCCGGGCCACATCTAGGAGTGATCAGGGCTGGAAAGTAATTATTATTTTGGCTTATGCAACTGAAAGGCAGGGTTCGTTATTACCCGAAGAGGAGGCGGAGTCTGGGCAGTTAATTATATAATGCTCCTGCCTGTCTGTGCCTTGCCCAGCCCTGGTCCCAGGCGGCCTTTTCTGTACTGTTGTTTTCGTGGATAAGGCTGGAGAGTTTCCCTGACCCTGGGGCATTGAGGACCTTCTGAGGTTCCAGGCATGCGTGCGTGTATGTGTGTGTGTGTGTGTGTGTGTGTGTGTGTGTGTGTGTGTGTGTGTATACATGTGTACTCACACTCAGTCTTGGTTAGGTCCTTGCAGCAGGTGTGGGTGGCCAAGGTGGGTGGTCAAGCAGTCTGGTGTTCCCAGCAGGGATCCTTAGCAAGCAATTGTGGCCCAGGGCAGACATCACTCAGGACTTGGATAGACTGTTCTGCAAAACTGCCTTTTAGAGGTGTCTGGCTGGAACAGCTATCATGGTACTCTGGGGTGACTGGACCCATCAGAAGAGGAAAATCCCAGAACACTTGAGGGTGGGGCTCTACATCCAGGCCTGCCCACACCCCAGATATCTATCTCCATTGGCCTAAAGAATTCTTACTTCCCTGTCAACAAATGTTTATTGAACACTTACTATGGCCAGATGCTGTACGCTCTGGGAACTCAGAAACAGCAAAGCAGACATGATCTTTCCAGAGTGTTCACTTAAGAGGATGGTAGCAATTCTCCATGGGGAGTTGGGAGCAGGCACTGGGTCCGCCAGGGACTCAGGGCCTGGTGTGCTGAGATCATACCCTAGATGACTTCCTGAGGATCTTAGCCCTCTACTGGGAGCTTTCCAAGCCTTTGGCCTCCTGTAGTACTTCCCTGAAGTACTGCTTTGAAGTGTAGTCAATTGGACCAGGGTTGTGTGTGAGCAGAGGTTCAGAGCCTAGCCTTGTGGCAGAGCCCCCCCTGTCTGGGGTCATGACCCCTTGCTCCTCACTACCTGACATTGCTCAGGGGTGCTCCTTTTACTCTGAACCCCTCAAGGGGATTTCAGTTCTTACCACTTTCCCTGGAGTGCATGGCAGAGAGGTAGGCATGTGGGTCTGGTCTCAGGGCTAGTTCTCCAACTCTTGGATGTTGACATATCATGACTGAAATTAAGCTGGCCCTTCTTGCTCTGGATGTTCAAGTACAGGTGTCCAGATCAATTTTTTTCTAAACATGACCAGCTTTTTGTTAGGAAGGGGTAACCTTTAAGAACTCAGACATTGGGGAAATCATTCTGTGAACCCTGGGTGGGGTGTGGTCAACTGCAAGAGCAGGTCAGGTCCTGGGTACCACGTCCCCTTACCTGGTGGGCACCCAGTCCTCAGTTAAGAATGACTGGTTCTCTTGAGTGAGTAGTCCCAGCCTCAGCACACCTTTGGTTTTATACAGCGATTAGGGCAGACAGCAGCAGAACTCCACAACTTTTGCTCAACGTCCAAGGCTGACTTGGAGAAGCGGTGGTTGTCATGAACAGAAAATGTATTCTGCATTCAGCTGCAATTGGTACGGAATCCGTTTTGACTAGGGACGCTTCTGCCAAGTCCTCCTCCAGCTTGCCCTCCCCCAGGCACAGTCAGGCATTGCTCCTGATGTGAGCCCAGTGAGTGACTCTTGAAGTCCGTATGAGGCCCCAGGGATGGGGTGGGGGCAGCAGGAGTATAAGCTTTTGGGGCATTGACCAGCTGGCCTTGCCAGGGATCTGCTTTGTGAGTTTGGGCAAGTTGCTTAACCTCTCTGAGCTTCTGTCCCTTTGTCTGCAAAAGGATAATACCATGGAGTGGGCGAGGATGAGCTGAGGGTGGAGTCCCAGGCTCTGCCAGGAACAAAGTGGGCATTCTTTTCATCCTTACAGTTCACGTGCAGAGAACATAACTGTTAACAGCTCCTAGGATGACCGTCAGACAGACAGGACTGAGATGACCGTACAGGTGACAGCCAGAGGAGATGGGAGATACTTTCTGTGTCTCTTACCCTTCCCATGTCACACACTGGGCAGCAGAGACTTCGAGCCAGGAGCCTTGAGAAGAGCTGGGATTCTAAGTTAGCTTTTGTTTGTGTTGCCTTCCTATAAGCTCCCTTTGTAAACTGCCTGTTGTCTCTTCCACTTTCCCATGCCGGGGACAGTACCTCTAGGTTCAGGCAGATGCGTGCCCTAGCAGCCATCACCGTCATCACATTGAGACCCTAGGACCTCCTTACTTTCTGAAGATAAACAAGGCTTCCTCTGGATGCCTTGGACCAAAAAGTCAACCCCCCCCCCATAAACCCTCCCACACTCTGAGAGATGAGTCATCGTACGCCCCGGCCTCCCCACTCCCCATACGAGCAGGTCCCGTTCACCGGCCCAGATTCCACAGCCCACACACATCACACACACCCACAGTAAGAACTCAGATCCACCCAGGCGCCTGCGCACACACACGCGCACAATACACCTGCCACCCTCGGATCTTCCACCCTGTCCCCCGAAGCAGCCACATGTATCTCCTGGCTTTGTTTGCTCCGCCATAGCCGAGGGCCGCCGGGAGTCCCTGCCACCCTGTAAATGTGGAGTTCTGATGAAAAGGTGGTGCAGCCGTTTCCATTTTAAACCTCAGCCTCTGGCATTGCTGCCCCCTGTGAAGAGAAACTGTTACCAGACGATACAAACTGAGTTTTTCTTTCAGTCAGTACCAGGGTTTGAACCTAGGACCTTGCTATGCTGGGTAGACACTCTGCCACTGAGCTATATCCCCAGCCCTCTTTTTAACTTTTTTTTTCAATTTTATTTTGGGTAGGGTCTTGCTAAGTTGTTTAGGCTGGCCTTGAACTGGTGACCCTCCTACCTCAGTCTCCTGAGTGCTGAGGATTCCAGGTCTGTGCTGCCGTGCCCAGATGCTTAAACTACCTTCCATGCTTGACTGTGAGGAAAGCTTTGATTGAAAAAATCCAGGTGCCTGGGCGAAGGGGGTACAACCAACCCATCAGCCCATCCACACAGATATTCTGCCCCGAGAAGCTTGGTTCTGAAAGGAAGCACATACTCTGTCTTGGAAGATGAAGACATTTCCTCAGTCTCTTCACCACTGAGGGAGGGGGATGTTGACAGGCTCCATCAGGTGAAAGGAGAAAGGAGCAAATGACTAGTTCTTTGTTCCAATTATAGCTGAGAAAGAAGGGTTGGTGAGAAGTGTTCCCTCCCCCACCTCAGCCTCAACTGCTGGCACTGGGGACCTGATGTGAGCCTGGAGGGTCATCAGTTCCCTTGAGAGTGGTATCTGAGAGCACCTAGTGTGGACTCCTGGGTGACCTGAGGTGAGGGGGCTCTGCTCTGTCCTCTATGAGGACCTGGGCTAGAGAGAGGATGGCTCTAGAAGAGATTGTGCTGGTGTCCTGGGTGGAGGCACATCTTCCTCAGCACCCTAGGTCTCCACAATTCTCAATGTAACGAGTGGACATGCTTGCAGATACTCTCCATAGTAGCCCCTCCATGCTGGTCGTGGAGGACATGCCACTGTAGAGGATTCCGATCTTTCTGGCGTAGTTGTTGTGTTTTATTTCTTTTGAGACAGGGACTTACTGTGTAGCCCAGACTGGCCTGATATTCACTCTGTAGTCTAAGCTGGCCTGGACCTTGCAGAAATCCTTCTTCTTCAGCTCCCAAGTGGAGATCTTTTTTTTTTTAAATGCTTAACAAGTTTTTAGTTTATCATTATTGTGTGTGTATGAAGTGTGGGCAAGTGTGGGAGTGTACATGCCACATCACGTGTGTAGAGGTCAGAGGACAACTCTCCCACCTTTATGTGGCCTCTGGGGATTGAAC